GAGTTTGGCCTGCACCACCTTTTATCTTACAAGAGATAAAACGAAAGGGAATCAAGCAGAGAGGGGAGACCTCATACCACCAAGAAAGCAGCACTGGGAGCAGAGTGTGTCCTTTGGACCCAGGGTCCCTGTGCCTGAGAAGCTCCTAGTCCAGGGGAAGTTTGATGACCAGGACCTTCCTTCAGAGCTGACAGAGAGAGAAAGACATCCCCTGGAGCTGACACTCTGAATTTGGACTTCTAGCCTACTTGACTGTGAGAGAATAAATTTCTCTTTGTTAAAGCCATCCACTTGTGGTATTTCTGTCATAGCAGCACTAGATGACTAAGACAGTGGGGTTATGTTATCTGTGATGGACAAGCTAAAACCAGTTGCCCTTGAGTTGATTCCAACTCATGGTAATCCTGTGTATGTCAGGGTGGTTTCCAATGGCTGATATTTTGGAGGTACATTGCCAGACCTTTCTTCTGAGGTCCCTCTGGGTGGACTCAAACCTCCAACTTTTTGCTTAGCAGCTGAGCGTGTCAACTGTTTGCGCCACCCAGGGACTATCCATCTCTTTCTCTTCATCCCAAACCTCTCCCCAGCCAGACTTTCCTCTTTTCTTCTCATTTTCTGCTCAGAAAACTTATGTGGTTCCTACTGATGAACGAAAAAAATCCAAACTTTTTGGTGGATTTGGAAGTCCTCCATGATCTTGTTCAATTCATCCTTTCATCTTCGACACCCTGGCCTACTTTCTCTCTTCAGTGCTTCAGAGGTGTGCCTTCTGCTTCACTGAGCATTCCTGGGCTTCCCTCTCAATTTCGTTCCCATGCTGTTCCCTCACCTAGAATGCCTGAATCCCTCCCGCCCTTCACTGCCCCACTGATCCACTGAGAGCCTCTGTGAACCCTGAGCAGCTTCCAGATTTTGAGGCCTGACACCTTTGGATTTATTCTCTACCCTTTGATTTAGCTTACTGAGGAAGGTCTAAGTTAGGAAGAAAATTTGTGAAGAAGATTCATCTTACCCCTGAACAAATATGCCATTTGAACAGCAGCCACCATATGGGCATCCCCATTGAGCTTGAGCCCCAGGACAATGCTACAGCCCTGCTCATAGCCCCTTCCCCTGGGATCATGGTCCTGGGCCTGACTTAGATGTCTTTTCTCTATGAAAGTCTTTCTCAATCCTCCCAGGCAGAGCTACTTCCTTCTTGGTGACACAAGAGCAATTTTTAATTGTTGTGCTTTAAGTGAAAGTTTACAATTCAAGTTAGTCTCTCATACAAAAATTTATACATACATTGTTATGTGACCCTAGTTGCTTTCCCTATACTCTGACAGCACACTCCTCCTTTCCACCCCAGATTTCCTGTGTCCATTCAACCAGCTGCTGACCCCTCTGTCTTCTCATCTCACCTCCAGACGGGAGCTGCCCATCTAGTCTCATGTATCTACCTGAGCTAAGAAGCACACTCTTCATGAGTATCATTTTAAGTCCCATAGTCCAGTCTAATCTTTGTGTGAAGAGTTGGCCTCCGGAATGTTTTTAGTTTTGGGCTAACAGAGAGTCTGGGGGCCATTTCTTCTGGGGTTCCTCCAGTCTCAGTCAGACCGTTAAGTCTCGTCTTCTTACTAGAATTTGAGTTTTGCACCTGACCTTTCTCCTGCTCCATCAGGGACTCTCTGTTGTGTTCCCTGTCAGGGCGGTCGTTGGTGGTAGACAGGCACCATCTAGTTCTTCTGGTCTCAGGCTGATGGAGTGTCTGCTTTATGTGGCCCTTTCACAACAGCAATTTTTTAATGATGTTTCGCCTTGTATCATGGTTGTTTGCTGTACACATCTTTCTTACTAGATTGTAATCTCTTTAGGAAAGGGGCTGTTATTGTAAGTTATTATATCCTTCCTATGGTGAAGAATATCGAGTATACCGTGGACCTCCAGAGGAACAAAGAAATCAATCTTAGAAGAAATACACCCAGAATGCTCCTTAGAAGCTAGGGTGGTAAGACTTTGGCTTGCTAACTTTGAACTCATCATCAGGAAAAATCAATCGCTAGAAAAGGTCATCATGTTTTATAAAGTGGAGCTTCAGTGAAAATGAGGGAGACCCTCGATAAGACAGATTGAAGCAGTGGCCACAACAATGGATTCAAACACACCAATGACGGTGAAGGTGTTGCAGGACCGGGCAACGTTTCATTCTGTTGTACGTCAGGCTGCCGTGAGTTGGAGCTGACTTGTCGGCAACTAACAACAACAATGGTGAATATGATCTGATGGCCGACAGTATCCATTTTCACTTCCTTCTATATTTTCTGAGGGGCCCTGGTGGTTTGGTGGTTAAGTGCTTGGCTACTGACCAAAAGGTCGGCAGTTTGAACCCACCAGCTACTCTGCGGGAGAAGGTGTAGCAGTCTGCTTCCATAAAGATTTACAGCCTTGGAAACCCT